AAGAATTGTCGAAGTACAGACATCTGTACTTCTACTCTTATATTAGACTTTTGACTTCACATATAAGATAGAATGATTTTATTTCTAGAAATTCTACTAAAAATACTCAAAGTTTGGTGGGAAAAGTGAGAAATGGGCGTGGGGTGTCGTATGGTGGAAGTTTTTGAGTCTTGTTTGTATTTCGATGATTGAATGGTTGGAGTAATTAGTCATTTTAACTGTACAACTCAACCTACTTGTGATAATTAATTATCTAAATTAAGCAATTAGTTTGAGCCCACAAAAACTTTGCTATTTGTACACTGATTTTTGACACTTTGGTTCACACTCGTATTGTTGTCAACTGTCAATTTGATGGAAAAACTGTTTGAAATTTAAACTGCCCAATAAAATAATGCCACGTGACAAAGTATATATTATAATGTACATGTAGCAAGATTCGAGCCAACAAATCAACTCATCTCTTTAAACCTTTCCAATTATTTTCTTCTAATGGGGTCTACTCTATGATCAATGTGATTCTCTCTCGTGTATGTTAAGGCAATTTTTGACTGGTGCGTCTATCCTGTGCGTCTAAATCCTCCAATCCAATTGCAAGACAATAGGTGATTTGAAGAGTGAAATGCAAGGTTGGCCGTGCTTTCATTTGCCTTCTCCTTTGTCTTTGACTTTTGTTTTTGAAAAAATTACTTAGGTGTCAAGTGACATATATATATATATATATATAATACAAATAGAAGTACGTGACATCAAGGACAAATCCAGAATCAGACTAAAAAAAATTTAAGCCAGGGTAATCTGTAAAAATAATAATAATAATAATAATAATAATAATAATAATAAATAATAAATAAAAAAATAAAATATTACACATAAAAAATATATTATAAGTAAAAATAAAAAAAATATTTTCCATGTATAATTTTCAAACAGACTACAAAGGGGCTGGGCTTCAGTCCACCCTAAATCTGCCCTTAATACAAAACAAGTAAACTATCGTGTCTCTTGATAGAAAAAATAAATGAAAAACTAAATAACTACACTTTATGCTTTTTTCATACTCCTCATTATCATATGTCAACTGTAGTGTCTTTCTAGTTCCCATTCACTTCAGACTCATTATTTGAAGGAAATTGTGTAAATATATTAACATATCTGAAATTTAAGAAGTCCAAAATATCACAGTCCCTATGAATGTATCCAAAAGTATCCCGACATATTCCCTTGTTTAAAGATAGAAATGTGGTTCTCATATTTTAACATCACTCTCAACCGCTTATTTAGGATCCGACAATTGAGTAGTTGTTGGGAAAAAACACATGCCAAATATTGCATTGAAATAATAATAAAGTAGAAAAAAATTCCGGATGCTTGAAAGAGAAAAATAGAACACGAGAATTTACGAGGTATGATAAAACTTACCAAGTCCCCGGGCACCTGAAATTTGTTGGAATTTTGCTAGAAATTTTGTATTATTTGATAAATGGAAAATTAAGTCAAATTTAAATCACTTAAATACGTGAATTATTGGAAAGTGCATAGAATATTATGGAATATTCTAGAAGTTATTTGGCAGAAAATGTGTCTTTCTATATGAAAGATTATGACTTTGGGCATTATCATTTTTCAAGAGACGTGTCTCTTTAAATATAGAGACTAATTCAAATAGTTGCGTCTCTTCCATATGTTGTGTCTTTTGAGACAAACATTTTCAATATCTATATATTGACCCCATATATTTGGATTTAATCATTCAGAAATTTCAATTCATTCCATAATTCCATATTATTCA